GACTAGACCCCATCTCAGTAAGAGCCTCTTGCATGGAAAGCCTGCGTCCCTGGCAGCCTCATCCTCCTCCTCCTCCCTAGAACTAGCAGCCAATATGGAAAGATGAGCCTTTGTCACCGATAATGATGGCCAAAAAACAAGATGCTCGGGCACCCATCTATAACCTGGTTGTTATTGGGCTGTCTGGGACAGAGAAGGAGAAAGGCCAATGTGGTGTGGGCAAATCCTGTCTGTGCAACCGCTTTGTTCGCCCAAGCGCTGATGACTTCTACCTGGATCACACCTCTGTTTTAAGTACCAGTGACTTTGGAGGTCGTGTTGTTAACAATGACCACTTCCTTTACTGGGGAGAGGCCGCAAGGACGATGGAAGAGGGGCCAGAATGCCGCATGAATGTGGTGGAGCAGACAGAGTTCATTGACGATCAGACGTTCCAGCCACACCGTAGCACGGCACTTCAGCCTTACATCAAGAGAGCAGCCTCCTCCAAGCTAGCTTCAGCTGAAAAGCTTATGTATTTTTGCACAGATCAGCTGGGGTTAGAGCAGGACTTTGAGCAGAAACAGATGCCTGAAGGGAAGCTCATGGTGGATGGCTTCTTACTCTGTATCGATGTTAGCAGGGGTATGAACCGTAGCTTCGAAGACCAGATGAAGTTTATTACCAACCTGTATAACCAGCTAGCTAAAACGAAGAAACCCATTGTGCTAGTTCTCACCAAATGTGATGAAGGAGTTGAGCGCTATATTAAAGACTCTCATGCATTTGCGCTTGCTAAGAAGAACCTACAGGTGGTAGAAACATCTGCACGTTCTAATGTCAATGTTGACCTGGCCTTTCTTACACTGGTTCAGCTCATAGACAAAAGCAGAGGGAAGCCCAAGATTATCCCTTACTTTGAGGCACTGAAGCAGCAGAGTCAGCAGATTGCTTCAGCCAAAGATCGCTATGAGTGGCTGGTCACCAGAGTGGCATTGCACCATAATGACATCTGGCCTGTTATCAGACGCAACATGGAACCTGCCCCTGAGTACAAGGAGTATGTTTTTCTCGAGGGAACAGCTAAAGCAAAGAAGCTCTTCCAGCAACATGTGCACAGACTTAAACTAGAACATATAGAGAAACTCAGGAAGGCCTACTTAAACATGCTACCACATGCCCTATCTGCACTTTTACCAAATTTGGATGAAATAGACCACTTAAGCTGGTCTGGCGTGCAGAAGGTCCTAGAGACAAAGAGGGAATTTTCCCATTGGTTTGTGGTGTTAGATGATACCCCTTGGGAAACCACATCCCACATCGATGACATGGAGAACACTCGAATCCCTCAGGATCTCCTAGAGACCCCAGCAGCTCAAACTATTTATGAAGTCCATCTGGAACATCTACGAACTGAACGCAAACGTGCTGAGATGAGGAGGGCTTTCAAGGAAACGCTAAGTGTTTCTCCTTTCATCACACCAGGGAAACCGTGGGAGGAGGCTCGCAGTTTCATCATGAATGAAGATTTCTACCACTGGCTAGATGAACAGGAGTATTTGGATATCTACAACAAGCACCAGAAGGAGATCATAGACCGAGCTAAAGAGGACTTTCAAGAACTGCTTCTTGAGTACTCTGAGCTTTTTTATGAGCTAGAGGTGGATGCAAAACCGAGTAAAGAAAAAATGGCAGCCATTCAGGAGGTGTTGGGTGAGGAACAGAGATTTAAGGCCCTACAAAAGCTGCAGGCAGAAAGAGATGCTCTTATACTGAAACATATTCATTTTGTATACCACCCGACAAAGGATACCTGTCCCAACAGTCCTCACTGTGTTGACAGTAAGATTGAACAGATCCTGGCCTCAAGATTCCCCACTCGATACCCCTCATCAGACAGTGCAAGGCTCGATGGGGGGAGGGCCGAACGCATTAATCTCATCATCCTTGGAAAAAATGGGCTGGCCAGAGACATGGCAAATGAGATAAGAGAATTGTGTTCCAGTGATGACCGGTATATCTTAGATGGCAAGATGTATGAGTTAGCTCTTCGTCCTATTGAAGGCAACGTACGACTGCCAGTCAATTCCTTTCACACACCAACCTTTACACCCCATGGCTGTTTATGTTTGTACAACTCAAGGGATTCCCTCTCTTATGTTGTCGAGAGTTTAGAGAAGCTTAGAGAGTCAACTATAAGTAGGAGAGAGAGGGAAAACAGCTTAGCTCAACTCCCGCTGTCCCTTCTTCTTGTCACTAAGCGGGGTGTGGGGTCCATTGGTGATATTGGAGGGGATACAGCACAAACACTTCTACAACAAGGGCAGCAAGTGGCTGTAAAGCTGCAGTGTGCCTATCTGGACCCTGCTTCTCCGGGCATGGGTTATGGTCGAAATATCAGTGAGAAGCATATTAACCAGTTGCTGAGGGGTCTTTTGGAAACACGGAGAAACATTGGAAGCAGCTCCCCCATATTGCCTCCTCCATCCCCTGCTTTCAGAGACTCTCAGTCCCAGTCCATGCTCGAAGCAGACCTCAGAATAGTTGTGTGCCTGATGTGTGGAGACACCTATGATCTAGATCAACTCCTTGCCCCCTTTCTTTTGCCCCAACACTGTCGTCCTTCATCCAGCCTAAGCAGTGGCACATCAGTTATTCTGGATCTAAATCTAGGAGGTCAGAGACACAACACAGAGCTTTCCCTGCTCTCATTTCATTCATCATTCTCTCTCCGCAAAACTGGCCTGGTCCATGGCTACATTGCAGTGTACTCTGCTCGCCGCAAGGCTTCTATGGAGACAATGTGTGCTTTTCTCTGTGAGGTCCAAGACATCATTCCTGTCCAGTTGCTAGCAGTGGCAGAGAGTCAGATGGAGCTGTCAGACTCAGACTCAGCCAAGGAGCAGGTCAGTCAGGGAGAGGAGCTGGCCAGTGAAATAAATGCCAGATTTAACACAGTCATTTGTGGACATGGGGGGGTAGTAGGGGGACTACATAAAATAGACCTTTTCCAACCTTTCTTCAAAGAAGTCCTGGAAAGGCGCAATATTGTTGAGGCCACACACATGTATGACAATGTGGCTGATGCACGTACCAATGAGAGCATCAGCCCTCGCTGTGGCTCTCCAAGTCCAGTCACCATTCTTATGGACTCAGAGGATGACATTGATCCAACACCTCCTTACTCTACGCTGAGAGAAAGTCTTGGTTCCCACCTGGGAACTTTCAAGATGCCAGATCTGGATTCGAATGAGACATTCTCTGTTATCTCTGAACTCAGCGCCTTTGAGAACAAGCTGAACAACAAGGTTCCTCCACAAGTGAAGCCCAAGCCCATTCGGAAGGTCAATCTTGGACCCTACATGGACCAACAAGGAAGCACCAACCGGCCCTCTTTGCCCCAAACTGTCACTTGGGCTCCGGGTAGCGATGGTGGCTATGACCCTTCAGACTATGCAGAGCCTATGGATGCTGTGAGCAAACCTCGGACAATGGAAGAGGAGAGTATTTACTCTGTTCCCCATGACAGCACTCAGGGAAAGATTATTACCATCCGCAACGCCAACAAAGGTCACTCCAATGGAAGTGCTGCAGGAAATGGTTCGGACAGTGAGGCTGATAGCAGCTCACTGGAGCGAAGGAGAAAGATGTCCACTCTAGGTGTGAAGCCTCAGCTGTACAGAGACAGATCTAAACGGCTTGGGAAGTTCAGCAATTTCAGGACAAGCTTCCCTCTTGGCAGCGATGATGAAATGGGGGGTACACCCAGGACTGGCCCGAATGGGGGAGGACCCCAGAAGGACAGCTCCCTCGAGGAGGGTGATGATCATAAAAAAATGAATATTCTCTGGAGCCTGCGCAGAAACACCAAGGTTAGTAATTGCCCATAATATTATGATTGACGGGTTAAATGTTTTTTTAGCTCAATTGTTCATTAGAGTTTTCTAAATAACGCCTAAAGTGTTATACTTTGTTAAGAGTTTTGGAAATTAATTTAAACTAAAATGATATTTAAATATGTATGTAATGTAGGATTTGAAGCATAGATACATCTTTGTCTTTTATGCACAAACACGGAGCATCCCCAGCATAGTTAGTTTTCAGCTGAGACTCTGTGCTGTTTGCTTTGGTCGAAAACTGTTTATTACTGAAGTTGAGAAAAAGCAGAGCTTAGTATCATTTCCCTGCCATCTGAAGCCAAGCCCAGTGAAAACATGTCATACTGTAGGGGTTTCTGTGAAACCAAGGGTGCCATGTTTATCCCTGTCTGCTCAGTGGGAGTCCACTAAACTAGCCAGATCATTAGAAGAGAAAGAATCTGTTGGTTTACTTTGGTACCAGAAAGTAGAAAACTTGTAGTGAATGAGCACAGTGCCACATTACGCATTGCTGTTTCTTCGTCTGAGGCTTTGAGTTGGCTGTTCTTTTTAAGACCAACACCATTTTCACTAACACGTTATTGGGTTAGGTTAAAAACGCATTTCTCCAAGGTGGTCCAGTCATTTTTTTAAGATCACTTGTTGCTAAAATAATTAACAGACTTTTCTGTTGTTCATTTTCATTTAAACTCCAGATTTATTCTTACCTGTGTGGCCTTTTTTGTTTACTTCCTTTAATTCTTATATTTTTATGTTTCTCTTTTGCTTATTCATACTTTCTAGCCTCTCGTGTTCTTGTCTCATTGTTCATTTTCCCCCTTCACTTGTCTCCTGTCCGTCCTGTCCTCCTGTGTCCTGTTCCTTTCTCACCCTTGATGTGGTGATACTTTTGACATTTTGACATTTCACTCTAGCTTATCAGCTTGGTATGCTCTTGATTCACACACATGGTGTGGTGCACAAGTGCCAGCTGAGCTGGAGTTACAGCTGTGCATGTTGTGTGTCTGATAATTGCCACGGCTGTCAGGAGGGTGGAACAGGAGGTGGATGATAAATGCTTTTACACACTCAGGCTGTGATTTACCTGTGTGGGGGTTGTCCGCTGGTATTATTCAGCTGCTCAAACTGCATTCTCCGGTACATTAGGGCATTCACCTGTCAGATGAAATGAGAATGGCTCAATCATTAGACAGTTGGATAGTTGTCAGAAGGGGAGGGGGATCGATAGAGGATCCAGTCACACAAAGTGCGACATGGGACAATATCTGTTTACATTTCAAAACACATCTCTTAGAAAATTGAAACCAGCTGAGTGTAGTTTGGTGTGGCCCTCCTAAGACCTAATAGTGCCCCTGATCTGTGCCGTACAGCAGATCTTGTTCACATTACAGGCTGTTATGGATTTATTATGCCTGTAATGAAGGATCCCATTCCATTGTGTGTTTTATAAGCATCTGTCTCTGCAATAATGGTCCGTTTTCAGTCTGCAGCTGTCAGAAAAGTTTAGTTATTTCTTATTTTTAATAACTTATAAGTTAGCAGAATAACATGTTCCTTTTCCTGTTTTTTCAGGGTCAAAGTGAGGTCAGATTCATAGTTAGCTGAAGGTTTGGGTTGATGTAAATATTTTCCTGAAAAGAGCCTTAGGATACTGTCTACCACATATGATGAGATTGAGTAAAGAGTCAGAAGTGTATCTCATTTTAAATATCCTTTTTTACCCCAAGCGTTGGCTGAGTGTGGTCATCCTGATCACCTTTCCTCAGTGAGAGCCCAGAAACATTTCCTTTTCTCACCCACAGCTTTTTCTAAACCTCTTCAGGCACCAAGTGTTCTTGGTTCAAGAAATAGGAGAAAAAACTAAATGGAAATACATTTTATGTTAGAGCTCTTTTTTGGTGTCCCACAGCTTGCTGTGTATGTAAACGCTCACTGTGGTGTCTGCATGAGGATGTGCTTTGTTTCTGTTTGATAGTGGAGGTCTATTTTGTCTTCTGAAAGCTGGCAACACATCCTGTCTCAGCAATTGAAAGGAGTGGCCAGAAGGCAAAACTGCAGGGGGAAGACGGCTAGCGAGAGAAGTGTGTGGGTACAGAGACAGTTTGTTAAAATGAGACAGGGTGTAGCTATGCTACGCAGTTAGAACGACGGGGCTGAAATAAATTATCAGCTGCCACACCAAACTGATGCAGAGAATGGTGAAGTGTCTAGTGACGCCGACATTTTAAAACCAGATTAATTAATGTTTCATGTATTTATAAACACACAAAAACATTTTAGGTTAATAACTTCCTGTAAATAATCTGGTTATGAGTCATCAGGAGCTTCAGCTGAAATGTAACAATTACAGCAAAGGTAAATGCTCTCAAAAACACCAGTGCACCTTTTTCCAGGAACTAGAAGTGAGCCACATCACAGCTGAGCTTCAGACGACAGGTTTTGGAGTGTTATTACCTGATATTTGGACATCTCGCCTCAGATTGGATAACGGCAACACATTTGCAACGTGGATGTTTAATCTCCACAAATAGCACGAGCCTGAAGATTTCTGCCATGTGGTAAAGTTGCTAATGCTAACGGCTAGCTTCTACTTGCTGAAACGTTCTCTGCTGTTTCCTGGATGACAACAGCCTTCCTTGTTGTGAGTCAAGATGGGTGAATCCATGAATGTTAAAGGACAGTGTGACGTAGATCTGTCAGGCTTTCCTAAATAATCTTCTACCCCAATTTCCTGCATTAGCTTCTTATAGAAAATAGACAAAAGTTCAGTTCAGAAAAGCCTGACTGATCTACGTCACACTGTCACAACATTCATGCACTCACCCATCTTGTCTCGCGACAGGGAAGGCTGTTGGTTTAGCGTCCAGGAAACAGCAGAGATTGTCTTGGCAAGTACAAGCTAGTCGTTAGCATTAGCAACTCCACAACAAGCCAGAAATCCTTCAAGCTTGTGTTATTTGTGGAGATGAAACATCACCATTCCAAAGCAAACAGAGTCAGTGGTAAAGTTGTGTTGCTGTTATCCAATCGGGCAAAATGTCCGATTATCAGGAGCTATTTCTCCAAATCCTGCGTTTCTTTTCCGGCTGACTTCTACGTCCTCACACAGGAGCATCTGAGTTAGGGATGCAACGATACCACTTTTTTCCAAACCGATACAATACCGATACTTGGATGTGAGTGCTCGCCGATACCGATTACCGATACAGATACTTCTACCACACAAAAAAATGCAATGAATTGGAATACAGGTTTAATTTTCTTCTGTTTTCAATAGGAAAAGACTGTGAGGTAGATAAACAGTAATATAAGTGATCCCAAAACTAAAATATTAGGTGAACAGAAATGACAATTTACAGTGAAGTCACTTTCAAGCATCTGCATTGGTATCAGTCACTGGTATCTGTTAACTTTTACCGATACCGATACTGGTATCGGTATCTGTATCGGCACCGATACCAGTATCGTATCGGTGCATCCCTAATCTGGGGGGGGGTTCTCCAAAGAACAACTTATAAGGCATTTATTCCCACTAGAGACCACTGCAAATGTATTTAAAATATTAATAAAGTAGAGCTTTAAGACTTGATTGATAAGCTAAAGGTTAGTCCCAACAGGGCCAAGACCAAAGTGGATTACTGCCGTCCTAAAAAACTCAATTCAACCAGAGGTTTTGTATCACAGTTAGTTTAATAGAATTATTTGGCTATTTGCTGTAGAAAATGGCGAGAGCTAGCCCAGTGGCTTTGGTTCAGTGTGAAATACTTTCTCCTGGAATTTAAATCCATTTCTGCTATTTTAACCATGTACTGCAAAACTGGTGGCACCAGGAAGTTGTGTTGTTTGAAACAGTTCTGAAATGTTTGAGTTTCTTGAGTATTGGCCTTGTCATAACAGCCATTAGCTTGTCTATCCAGTAAGAACAAATCTCTGTTTCTTCAAACTGAGTACACTCAAAGTGCTAAAAGGCAAGACATTTATTTTCAATATCTTTTTAAGGAACTTTACTTGAAAAGGTCCGAATTGTTTCTCCTGGTACACATTTCTTCTCATTATTTACACTAAAAGAATAAATGGTAAATGGCCTGTTTTTGTATAGCGCCTTCTTAGGGTTCTACAACCCCCCAAAGCGCTTCACAATGCAGTCATTCACCTATTCACACTCTGGTGGGGATGAGCTACGATGTAGCCACAGCTGTCCGGGGACACTGACAGAGGTGAGGCCTGCTGAACACTGGCGCCACCGATCCTTCCGATCACCGCCAGCATGTTAAGTGTCTTGCCCAAGGACACAATAGCAGCATTCTCTGGTTGGAGCCGGGATTGAACCTGCAACCTTTCAATTACGGGACAACCCACTTAACCTCCCGAGCTATGGCTGTCCCTATTAATAATTAATTAATTTTTTTTAAAAATCACTAATCTTGTTGGCTTACTTTTAAGATGAAGCTGTAATGTTATAATTTCATATATCAGGTTTTGGTCCACATGATATTAGAGAGCTGGTAAAGTTTTTAATAAAGTGACTCAAACTAATTATCTGTCATAAATGTTATTTTAAATATGCATAATCAGATTATTTTTGATTGAGTGTAATGAGTTAGGCCTAGACATGCTTATTATGTGAACAAGTGTTTTGTGTTAATTGTATTTGTCTTGTTGAATAAATGAAAATCAATCCAAGTCGTGAGGATTTAAATTAAATATGACAAAAGATGATGTGATTTGTTCAGCAAGTTTAGTAAAATCAATTCAACCAACCCAGTTAGGCTGAGAATGAACATACTGAGTTTTTACTAAAATATCGTGTGGATCCTAATTATTTAAGTTACTAATAGGGTTGTCACGGTATGAAAATTTAACCTCACGGTTATTGTGACCAAAATTATCACGGTTTTCGGTATTATCGCGGTATTTTTTAAACGGTGTTGCATATGTTCAGAAAGCATTGATAGTCCTGTTCTACACAAACTGAAATAGTTCTGAAAAGGTTTAACAGTGTTTATTAAACCTAAAATAACACAAAGCCTTAGCAAAAGTGCAACTTTTCACAAGTAAAGGAACAAATAGCTTATTTTTCTGGAACATGTTACAGTAGTCAGTGCAGGTTTAAATTATACAAATCCAAACATTCGAAACATAAACAATATGTAAACAAATCAAAGAAACACCACTTGTTTTCTCATATACTTGTTTTCTTCATTATCAACATGAAAATCTAAAACTCCAGTCCACACTTGACTTGAGCACTGTACAAGTCAACCTTAAAAAAAATGTATTTAAAACAAATAGCCACTTTAAACAAATTACTAAAATAACTACTACACTATGTAATCAAATCCAAATGTTCAAGTATAAATGGCATTGAATAAGTAAACAAATCAATGACAAGGAACTAATTGTATATTTCTCTTCATCATCAACAAATAAGATGCTTCATCCAGCAACAGGGTGTCCGTGACACGGTTTAAATGCTGGCAGAGGACGCTGCGGCTGCAGTATATAGTGACTCGTTGTATTCTCCCTCAACCAAAAGTCCTCACGTCATGCATTTAAGCTAAAATGCTAATGTTAACTTAACTTGCACTGGCTGTAGAGACGTGGGTGATGGTCACGCAGATGTGCCATGAGATTTGAAGTGTTGCTGCCTTCTGCAGACACTTGTTTCCTGCACGTTCTGCAAACGGGATAGCCGTCTTCTATTAACTGTCCCTCAGCATTTTTCAGAAATCCAAAATATGCCCATACTTCCAATTTAGTCTTCTTTGAGGGCTGATGGATGTCCTGGGTGCTGCCGTCTCCTCCTTCGGCCATTATTTCAGCTTCAAAGTTTTGGTGCCGTTGCAAATTAAAAAGTGCGTGTGCGCGCCGCGGGAACTTCAGCTGAAGCGACGGTGGCTGGTAAGGGTCACCGCGCCGAAACCGCGGCCACGGTAAACCCACCGAGATAATATAGTTTTTTAAAAACTGGACGGTTATTTTTATTGTCAACTTTTTTACCGGGGTTTACCGCTATACCGGTTACCGTGACAACCCATGTTGAATTCAGAGAAAAATCTAATATTTTAAGAAAAAATGTACCTTATCTAAAAACTGCATTTTTCAGTTTTAAAACCATCAACATCCAATAATAGTTTACCACGTCGGAACTCAATCTGTTTATTATGCCGACATAATCTAGTGTGAGTCAGTCAAACAGAGGTCTTGGTCATTGTGTTGAGTTTGCTCGACTTCCATCTAGAGTGTGTGTGTCTGTGCTTGTTTTTGAGAATGTTTGGATGCAGCAAGACCGGCGTCTCAAATGGAGGGCACACCGGTTGTTCTTCTCCCTAATGAGCACTCCTGCTCTGCTCCTGTTGTGTGTCTGTCAGAACCACACGGCACCAGCAGTCCACGTGTCCAGCCAACCATGCACTCCAGCCAGGGCAGCGCCTCGGGGGTGCTGACAAACCTACCAGAGAGCCAGTCCTCGGGGGGGCCCTCAGAATATTCCCACTGATCGGCAGTAGAGCTCAGTACATTTACCGCTGATATGCAGAGACGGGCAGCGAGTGTTGCAGGAGTGGAGGAGGGAGGTCTCTTAACAGGAAAATAAAAGCATGAGAAAAGTAATTAAGCAGTTTAACGGTGGAAGAGCTGCAGTGAGGTAGAGACGAAGAAACATGAAGAGATGAACGTTCAGTGTGTATCTAACTGAAGCACAGAGCAGGGTTCGAGATAGGAATTTATGATTTCTTATCACTAACATGAACAGGTATGTGTGGAATGAGAGAGTGTGTGTGTTTGTGTGTGTGTGTGTGTGTGTGTGTTTTTGGTCCAGATTTTCATTTCAAATAATGTTGATCTTTTGCCAGAAACCGCGACAGAAACCCAGACTTTCCACCTCCAAACCCATTGAGAGCACCTACTTTGGAATGCCACTGGCCTCTGTGGTCACCCCCGAGAGGCCCATCCCAGTCTTCACTGAAAAGTGCATCCGTTTCATCGAGACCACAGGTGAGACTCGCCACCTTCCCTCTGAGTGAGGATGTTGTCCCTGACTCGGTTTTTAATTTTAGTAAATATTTCCATAAATGTGTGTGTGCTGCACATTCCACACTTTGTTCTGCTGCGTGTTTTTCTAATCGTAACTCTGAGGCTGAACTAAGATCAACTCCCTTTTGCTGGGGTAGTTGCATGTCGTAATCTTCCTCAAATCCAGCACAACCTGATGTTAGACTTATCGTTTTATGAGTCTGAGTGTTGGTGCCAGAGTTGAACACCCACCCAGACGTTGTGTAAAGCAGCGCTTGACTTTTCATAATCGCCGTTTCCTGGCTGATTAAACAGAGAATTCATGTTTGTCCTCTTCCCCATTATAATTAGAACAAGTCAAAAGGGAGCAGCAGTTAAATCTGTGAATAAAGTCTGATGTTAGTGCTAAAAATGTCCCATTTGCTCAGATTAATGCTGCGTGTGTAGCTCGTGTTGTCCTTTTTCTCGCTGGAAGCACAGATGTGCTTAGAGAGCTCCTTCTAACCTTTCTGCCCTGTTGCCCAGATGCCAGCCTCTTCTGTTGCCCCGCTGCCCTTGGACCACCTGCTTGCATCTCACTCGCACCACCAGCTGTTAAACTAAACCAGATGGGATGCTTATGTAAAGGCTTTTCTCTGTTCCTGGTTAGGCCAGGATTTTAGACGTTACACTGCATCATTTCTTCATTTTGAAAAACATCATTTAACCTTCTGCGTGCACACGGGCTCGTTCTAGATGTATCTTCTTCTAAACTGAGTTGCATTTAGTCTGTTTTTCTCCAGAAAGCTGCTGACTGACATGCTGGTGCATTCCAGTGTAATCTCTGTCCTGATTAAAGTCTCTGCATTTGAGGATTACCGCAGCCTTACAAAACATCCGCCTCCTTCCTCCATGTAGGGGCAAAGCTCCAGATAACAAGGCATCACGTTTGATTTAGCCTCTCCCTGTTCAGATGCTAACTGGAGCAGTCACAACAGTTACTGTTGGGTAAAGGGGGAGAACCGGGTTGAATATATAAATCCTCATTTTAGTATTTCTCTTCATTTTATTTCCAGTTCTCTCATTTTTTATTCTAATCATCTATTGGTCCTGATGCTTCATTCCCTTCTTTTATCCTTGTTGTCCCATTTAATCCCAAGTATGTTTCCCTCCAGCTCCTGTTTTCCACTCTACATTCCCTCTTCCCTGGTCTTATATCAGGAAGTGTTTCGGCGGAGGAGCTTCCAGGTCATGTTGTGCCCCACGGCTTCCTCCGCCTGTTCCCTGTCACAGCGTAGGATGTTTGTTGAGGGTGCTCCTCTGTTGCTTAGAAGTTTATTTGTAACATTAAGAACTGCAGCTCCACGAGTGCCACCCGATTGATTGAGAAACTTGTCCGGAGACTGCGTAACCATAACAACGCCTTACTGTTAGAGGTGCAAGCACACCAGCCAACAGACATGAGAAAGCTACAAATCTAAAACTCATACAAATGTAAATCAGCACTTCATTACCTTGAAACTGACCTTATAGATCAGTGTTTGTTGATGATTTAAAGGTTCTTTCTTTATTTTATCTTAACTTTAAACTAAATAATCTCTGTTTACGTTAATCAGTCTTTAAGGAATTATGCAAATACTCTCATAACAATTGGGTCAAAGTTTAACAACACAAGTATATCAGTGACAATGTGCTGCACGATAAGGGTGTGTGTTGGCAGTAATCTGGCGTTACGATATTTATCACAATACAGGGGAGACGATACGATATGTTTTAATAATAAAGTCTTTTTCCTACTGAACTTTATTGGAAAACTCAAGTCAAAGGCTTCCAAGACACGTCCAGAGTTATCGCGGAATCTCGTTCCGTCCCAATGAAGGCCATTAAAATGGCTGCCACCTAGCAGGTGGAGATTGAATTGCATCACACAAAAGAAAAACTGTAAATGTTTCCATGTCATTTCTCAAAACAAGATCAGTACGCTGCTTTTAAATATCTGGTGATATTTTAGTGTATCAATCTTTTCTTACAAATTCAATTCAATTCAAAAATACTTTATTAATCCCAGAGGGAAAATAAATATATATATATATATATTAGGATCACATGGAAAACGCAAACCAGTGACAAACCATCCAAATGAGTGCAGCTGTGGCGCAGCAGCGTGTTTACCTGATCAACAATGCTTTGTCATTACAGAATAAATGTAATATCCGTTCAGAACAGTACCCACATCTGAATAAAATACAGATTTAGTTACTTATTTTTATTTTGATGTGAAACACTTAACGGTTCCTTTTCTAAATTGTTCCTTCTTTGTCCCAGTTTGTGACTCAACTCTTGTTTGGCCGTGAAATAATAATAATAACAAAAATAATAATGTACGTTTGTTTTTCTGAGCTCGTATAAAATCATTCCATTGTGACTGCTGTTATCCGCCAAAGCTTTCTCAGTGCCTGCATGGTAGTCGCAGGGCGCTGTGCTCATGGGTGCCGAGGTGATGGATGTGTGCTAGCGTGTGCAGGCATATCTGCTGGCGGTGGGAGCCTCCATAGCGACGAAAAGGGCAGCCACCCAGCGACTGCCTGTCTCCATGGTGAACTATGAAATCAGCCCTGAAAGAGGCTGGGATCTGAGCTAATGTGGGATCAGCTGGTGTTGTGTCAGGCAGCAACACGCTGCAGACATGCAGCCGCTAACCCTGGGAGCTTTTGTTGTTCGCTTGCTTGAAGTCTGCAGACCCATGGGTGTGTTTTTATTCACTTTAGTGCTCTGAGTGTAAAGGCTCCACAGATGGTAGCACTTTTAGGTTTTTATTTTCTTTACCATAAAGGTATGAGCTCCAAAAACGTACAAATTCATTTTTATACACTTCTCTTTATCTTAATCCCTTTATTTTGTTTCTCAGTCTCTCTTTCATCAGTTCGACTCTCACTTTTCTGCTACGTCTCACTATCTGTTGACCCTATCCTCCTCCCTCCCGCTCCACCGCTGCAGCACTACTCCTTCCCACTATCTGTACTCCCATCCCTGTTTTCCTAGCGTCTGGCGAGCACAGCCTTTGTGGGTAATTGATTGGCAGAAGGAGTAGATCGATGCTGTATGCCTCAACTGAGAGCTCTCTCATTTCTTCCCTGCCTCTCCCTTTTTTGTGTGTTTTTTTCTCCTCGTGCCACTGCCGATAGGCTTCGCTCCCATCGGAGTTGTCTTTGTCTCCTTGAGTTCCCTCCAAAGTGTGACTGAAGAGACAAATTCAAAAGTTAGAGCAGCTGAAAACCTCATCTTACTGCAAATTTGAGAAATATCGATGAACTGAATGAAAGTGAGAGTTCTGTGTGCCTTTGGTTTTTGTCATTGTTCCATGTTACCTTGGCTCCTTCATTTTATATTCTTTTTCTGGGGCTAGGATCAGTCTCGTTGAGAAACACGTGTACTAAAGCCACTGAAACTACACGTTAAGATAAGATAAGAACAACTTTATTCATCCCGAGGGAAATTGTTGTCATGTACATGCTCAAAGCAGTAGGAGAGACAAAGGAACAGGTGAAACAGATATAAGATTTACGATATATACAGTAAAAATAGTGTACAGTAGTATACAATAGGATAGTGCAAGAGAAATACTCAGATAACTCAACAAATAAAATACATGACTGTATCTTGGTGAATAAGTAATTAAGCTATCAGTGCAGGCGATTTTCGAAAGTGATCAGAGTATTGTGCAATAGAATTAAGGGTAGTAGCAGCATATGATGGAGGGATGCAAACATATTTCCAATAAGAACTCTTGGGTAATATTGTACAGTCTGGGATGGAACTGAATAGTCTAGGTAATAGTATTAGGAGAATCACCTACAGGGTGAGGAAGAGTTAAACAATCCTATTGCCACCGGTACGAAGGATGTCCTGTGGCGGTCAGTTCTGCATTTCGGGGCAATGAGTCTTTTGCTGCGTTTGCTTCGATGGTCCATCATGTGGGCGTGCATGGGGTGGGAGGGGTTTTCCAAGATAGAGAGAAGCGTTTTTAGCATTCTCCTCTCAGACACCTCCTCCAGGTTCTCAAGTCTAACACCCAGGACAGAACCAGCCTTCCTAATCAGCTTGTTCAGCCTGTTGGCATCAGCTATCTTCACCCCACTGCCCCAGCACACAGCTGCAAAGAACACGACACTCTCCAACACAGAGTGATAGAACATGGTCAGCATTTTCCTACCAACATTGAAGGACCTGAGCCGCCTCAGAAGAAAAAGTTGACATTGCCCTTTTTTGAAGATAGCATTGGTGTTCTTGGTCCAGTCCAGTATACAGTCCAAGTGTACACCCAGGTACCGGTAGTCCTCAACGATCACAACGTCAGCCCCTCTGATGGTGACAGGAGTAGGAGGTGGGCCTGCTTCCTAAAGTCCATAATCAGTTCCTTAGTCTTTGTGATGTTAAGTTGTAGGTGGTTTAGCTCACACCACTCCACAAAGCTGTCCACCACACTCCTGTACTCCACCTCCTGACCATCCCTGATACAGCCCACGATGGCAGAGTCATCAGAGAATTTCTGCAGAAGGCAAGACTGAGACTTGTACCTGAAGTCAAATGTGTAAAGGGTGAAGAGGAAGGGTGATAGGACTGTCCCCTGCGGCGCCCCCGTGCTGCTCAGGATGTTATCTGAGCGGCAGCTCATCAGACGGACATGCTGTGGTCTACTTGTTAAATAGTTCGTAATCCAACCTACTAGTGGGGCGTCCACCTGCATTTATGTGAGCTTATTCCCCAGCAGTGATGGTCTGATCGTGTTAAAGGCATAAGAGAAGTCGAAGAACATGACCCTCACAGTACTCCCAACAATGTCCAGGTGAGAATATGCCTGGTCCAGCAGGTAGATGAGGGCATCCTCCACACCGATACGAGGTTGATAAGCAAACTGCAAGGGATCCAACCAAGGCTCCACCAGCAGCCGCAGATGTTTTAGGACGAGTCTCTCCAGCGTCTTCATGACATGTGAGGTCAGAGCCACTGGCCTGTAGTCACTGGGGGTCGATGGGTTGATCTTTTCAGGGACAGGAACCAGGCAGGATGTCTTCCAGAGTGATGGAACGCTCTGCATCTCCAGGCTCATGTTGAAGATCCGTTGCAAAACTCCAGACAGCTGGGAAGCACAACACCTAAGGGCCCTGGGACTGACACCATCAGGACCAGCAGCTTTGCCGGGGTGGAGTCTGCCCAATTCTTTTTTGATGTCATCTGCTGAGAGGGACAGGGTGAGACAGTCTGAGGGGGCAGGGGGGGGGGGGGGGTGAAAGGAGATGATGGGAAGAGCTGGCTGTGGAGACAGGAGACGCTGGGCAGTCGAACCTATTGAAGTGTAGATTTAGGTTGTTAGCACTTTCGACATCCCCCTCCATCCCAACACCTCTCTTTTGTCTCAGGCCAGTGATAGCCCGCATTCCATTCCACACCTCCCTGGTGTTGTTTTCCAGCCTCCGTCTGTAGAACTCTTTCCCCTCAGCAATCTTGGCTTTCAGCTCCTTCTGCACCAGTTTCAGCTGATCTCTGTCACCATTTCTAAAAGCTCTTTTTTTCTTGTCCAGGGTTGCTTTTATGTCTTTGGAAACCCAGGGCTTATTGTTGGGGAAGCACAGTATGGTTATTTGGGGGACTACCGTGTCAACACAGAAGTTGATATAGTCTGTAACACAGCCTGTCAGATTGTCAATATTGTCCTGATTGGAATCACAAAGAACATCCCAGTCCGTTGACTCAAAGCATCGCTGCAGAGTCTCTTCCTTGTCCATGTTGTGACCGTTTTTGTGGCTGCAGGTTGTCTCTGGATGGCAGGTCTATAAATGATAAATGACCCGCACTTGTATAGCGCCTCTCAGAGTAAGGACTCCAAAGCGCTTTCATTCATCCATTCACACACTGTTGGTGATGAGCTACGATGTAGCCACAGCTGCCCTGGGGTGCACTGACAGATGTGAGGCTGCCGAGCACAGGCGCCACCGGTCCCTCCGACCACCATCAGCAGGCAAGGTGGGTTAAGTGTCTTGCCCAAGGACACAACAGCAGAATTATCTGTCCGGAGCCGGGATCGAACCTGCAACCTTCCGATTACTGGACAACCCGCTCAACCTGTTGAGCTACTGCTGCCCCAAGGGGCTGGAGGGAGACCAGGTTGTGATCAGCCCTGCCCAGGGGAGGCAGAGGGCTGGAGGTGTATGCCTCAGCAGCATTGACATAAAATAGGTCCAGTGTTTTATTGTTTCTTGTTTTGCAGTCCACATACTGCTTGAATGTAGGTAGAACAGTGGAGAGGTTCGTGTGGTTAAAATCGCCCGTTATAGCCACAAACGCAGAGGGACTACGATTTAGTACATCCGCTGGCGCAGAGCTGATGACGTCATACGCCTGCGCCGCGTTGGCATCAGGAGCGATGTAAACAATGATGAAAATGGCGAGGGAAAACTCACGCGGTAGATAATATGGTCGGAGACCGACCGCCAACAGTTCTGTGTTTGTTACACACAGCCATTTTTATGTGCATTAACACAAAAATTGTACTAATACAGTTAACATGTTTGTTAATTATAAGATTAAATGTTTAAACAACCTTTAAAGGGGTATTATGGAAGTTTGACAGCCAAAACATGTATAGAAATAATAAATTTCTTCTTCATACATTCTCCTGCAATGCCCTGGTCCTGTAGAATGAGCCATGGCATTTTTACTGTGATTGCCTGTATTTCTGTAAAATCACAGAAAAAGAGAGCTGCTCGGGTCGAGCCGGCTGCTTCATGCACGTTCACGCTCAGGCATAGCCCGTAGCATTTGCTATCAGTAGCTTTAGCAGCAGAGAGTGAGGTAGTGCCAACTCAGCGACTTTGTCGCTGTTCCTAACGCCTAGTGATGAACCTAGCTACATTTCTGAGGACCCTTAGCTACTTTCTTCTAGATATTTCCTGCAAATTAGCAACAAAATAGCCATTTTCGCTATGAACCGTTCTTTGGACGTTGTTTCAGCTGTCAGCAAGGTTATAAATGTTACAGATACAAAAGATGTCACTGGCGCTTTAGCTCACCTAAGCCCTTTTCAGACAGACATTCTGGAACGTTTGCGGACAATTCAATCCGGTTTTTAACCGGAACTGTGTTTTCAGACACACCACTTTTGTACCGGAACTTGTCCTTTCGGCTGCGTTCACACAGCAGGGAAAAGTTCCAGATGTCTGACGGCGGCGGGGGGTGGGGGGAATCGGACTTATGTTAAGAAGAAGAAGAAGAAGAAAATATCGTTTCTATAGCGCCTCTCAAGATAAAAATCACGAGGCGCTTAAGCATAATTCTGCGCACACGAAGACGCATAAGAGTTCTGGATGATGAAGCTCAATGGTTAAAGGAATCACTGAAGTGGTGTGAAGCGCTCCGTCGCGCGTCTAGACGGTACCGTAGGAGGCGAGCTGCCGTGGTTCGCCGCATGCTACAGCAGCGGGCTATAGGTGCGCACAGCGTCCCCCGGTCCCCTCCTCCTCCCCCTCCCTCTTGTCCGGAACTTTACCTCATCAGTCTGAAGCAGCCACCCTGTCCGTAACAAGTCCGGACCTGTTACTAGGGGCTTCGTCCAGATAAATTCCGGAACACGTTATCCGGATGTTTGTATTCAGACAGAAAGGTCTTACGGACAGATTCCGGAACATTTCCGTTTTTCATGGCTTGTCTGAAGGGGGCTCTAGTAAGACATCGGACCCTAGTGCAGAAGATCTGGGTTCGATTTTGATGTGGACATAGTTTTTTATTTAGAGTTTATTTTTTACATTAATGGTATATTTTTTTACAACAAGATGCCCAAATTTTTATTTGAGACTCGCCGAACGGCATTGCATTCACAGATAAAAAAGATGTGGGTTCAACTTTCATTTTGGAACAATTTTTCAAGCAAGGGAAGGGCATGATCTGAGCATGCAGGAAGACTGACCCATCTAAAACCTTTGTCGGCTGTGCTGAAGAGAAAGGTACAGAACCAAATTATTTTATTAATTTGCTGCGTGTTCTCCTGTCCTCTGTCCTCCGGGCCACACACACACACACAACACACACACACACACACACACACACACACACACACAAACACACACACACACACACACAGGACTGTCTCAGATGTTATTTTCGTTAAGGAGTGTGCACGTACAGCATGCGCGCCTCGTGCACGAGCCTACTATTGAAGCTGCCGTTATGCTTTTGGCCAGAGGGGGCAATCGCAAGCATAAAAATTCAAAACTCCGTAAAGTCCCTTTAAACTCATAAAATAGATAAAAAAAATTACGAATCTGGATGGTGTTTGTTTTTCCCACACAAAAAAGTTAAATCTATGAAAGAATAAATCAAGAGTACAAGAAAAAGGCTCAGAGTGGTTTTATTTTACTGTGACAAGAAGACTGCCTCATCTCTCCCCCACAGTGCACCAGTAAGCTCCCAGCAGGCCTGCAGGAGTTCTTTATGGCTTTAATAAATAGAGTTAATCGTGTGATAGGATGGAGGAAACCACACCTGTAGGCACAGCCGGAAGGACCTCACCTTTCTGGGCCTTTCAGGGTGTGTGTGATCCATGATGCTGCGTATAGATGGGTTTTTGCAGGAAACATCGTTTGCAAATAAACAGCAAGCTGACAGCGGGTCTCTTTCTGTTTCCTCCAGGGCTGAGCACAGAGGGAATCTACAGGGTCAGTGGGAACAAGGCAGAGATTGAGAGTGTGCAGCGACTATTCGAACAAGGTGGGTATTTTAACGCGCTCGTACCTGCGTGCTTATCCCTCTCCTGCTTGCTCACTGGATGCAATAAAGATAAATGTGCATCTGCTTCTATTTTTAAGCGTCGTAACTCCCCTGAATCGAGCGGGGAGGATTAATTTGCCCTGCATTCCTTTTAGGCTGCAGAGCTGCCCCCAGTAATCATCATCCTGCCCCGGCGCGCGTCGTCACACGTGTTCAGGAGCTCTCGGCATGTGTCTCCCAGCGAGCGTCTGTCTGGTGTGGGCAGTTAATTGCCTCCAGATTGGTTTGGCTAATGAAGCATGTTGTCATGATAGATAGCAGAGCAAGATAGCCTGAATCTGTGTGTGTGTGCGTGCGTGCACGTGTGTGTATTTCCATGCTTGGCTGAGGTTAAATTCAACCCAGGTAATCAGAGTTGAAAACCGGCACTGAATCATTCTGAGCCTCCAGCCGACGGGACGAGACAATTAAAGGTGCAACGTACAGTTCAGGTGTTGCAGAGCCGAGCAGCGCGGAAAGCGGCTCTTAATCAGCTCCCTGAAGGTTTAGAGAACTTGCTTCAGGAGAAAGTTGCTCCAGAAAGCACCTGAACTTAAACACTGTCATGGCAGGAGCTCCATTAGGAGTTTTAAACAAACCCTCAAACAGGAGCTGCTCTTCTGACTCCTTCAAGGCGATTTTTCAAAACATATTTGTCCGAAAACGGAGTGTTAATACCGAATCCTTTATTTCACTGCTGGTTGTGCTTGTTTACAAGATCTCACACAGTTCAGATCCATCAGAGAAGACTGAATTATGTCTGGTCGTAACCCAGAACCACTGTTTTTATTCAGTTATAATTACAGTTTCTGTTTCGATCAACACACGCTGTAATTATGTGAACACCCAATAAACTAAGCCACTTCACACGTGAATTAAAGATGATTTGGACTCTTGGTCTTTGTGGTACACAAGTAAGAAAAGACTTCTACAGTTTTACATTTTAAACAGAAATTCTGTCGTTTTTTGGACTTTCCCTGCTTTGTATTTGTTTCCAGACCAGAGATGATGCAGCGTTGTGTCGAGACATAACAAGCCCTTTTATATAACGGATCTTTGTCTTTTAATTAGCATTTTTCCCTTTTTGTCCCCAGATCACAGCCTGGACCTGGTGGAGAAAGACTTTACCATCAACACAGTAGCAGGAGCCATGAAGGCATTTTTCTCCGAGCTACCGGAGCCTCTGGTGCCCTACAGCATGCAGACAGACCTGGTGGAGGCCTTCAGTAAGTCCCAGGGCGCCACATGGATGTGGGGAGAAGTCCTCCCTAAATGCACCAAGTGTGTGTTGGATTTTTAGTCCAAATCAGTTTTTTGGGGCAGGTAGTTGTAACAAGCAAGCAAGACTTCCAGAATCCAAACCCGTTCATTGTGTAGAATTAGATTTGCTGCTCGGTTGTATAGCCGAGGGAGGAGAGGAGGACTGGATGGGGGAGGGAATATTGAAGGTTTTGTGCAGAAGCATGTGGAGATGATTGCACACGATGACAAAGGGATGCAGGAGCACCGAAGACTGGATGGGGAAAATGGTCTTATGGTTGATAAACGAGTGCACTTCTGCTTTCCCCACACACCTCCCTTCCCTCTGACCTGTAATCTGTCAGAATGAAGATTTAAAGCATAATTTAGTCTAGCATAGCACCAGAGAGATTTACCCGCAGACCGCATGGCTGCTGTCAATCACCGAAGCTCACACGCGTGTGTGTTTCCACGACTCCGGCGAGACCCTTCAGCCGTGACAAAGACCTGATAAACCTTCTGCAGTTTGTGCCACAACAGCAGGAAGAGCAGAAAAGAGGGAAACAGGAGGCACAACAGAGTCGCACTTTTGGCAGAAAATTACATTTAAAGTTTGGTGTTCTTGGAGAAGAGCTAGGGATTTGGTCACAGTCATGTTTTACTTCCAGTAATCTGCAGGAAGTGAAGTTTTGATGGTCGGTACCAGAGGAGCCGAGGCTCTACAAATTTATACAGCCTCAAATCTGGTTCTGATCCACACTGACCTCATTGTGGGAATTCAAAGTGGGATTTTTCTGCTTGTAAAGTGTGTGTGTGATGTGGAGGAGAACATCTGCTGTTCTCGCTGCAGCGCTGCCTCACACACACACACACACACACACACGCGCGCGCGCAGGGTGGACACAAATGGTGACGTCAGATTTTCTGACTCATTCCTCATTGTCGCCAGGCTTTTAACACACCCTGTGTGTGTTTTCAGTAATCTGCAGAATTGTGTGGTGTGTGTGCGTGCGTGTGTGTGTGGGTGTGATGATCACTCTGCTGTAGATTATTTGAAAGCTAAAACCATTTTTCTCCCTGATGCTTCCTTCAGATTGTTCTCACTCGTTTTAGTTCTACTCTCTCCATCCCTCCTCATTTTTTTTAATACTCCCACTCCCCAGACAGCTTTCCCCCTCCTATTCCTCTGACGTTTCCTTTCGGCTTCATCTCCTGCCTCCTCCTAACCTCTCGCCTCTCTTTACCTACGCTCAGAGATCAACGATAGGGACCACCGCTTCCAGGCGATGAAGGATGTCCTGCGACGTTTTCCCAGGGAGAATTACGAGCTCTTCAAATATGTCATCAGCCATTTGAACAAGTGAGTGATGGACTCGATCAGAGCTGACTGCACCGCTGGTCACCCTGTCAAATGACCTGCAGGTGATAACTGCAACGGACTTCTCGTTGAAGGGGTTTTGCTCCGGGTTAATCACGATCTAATAACATTCAATAAAATATACTTCTGTTAGGGTAAACTTTACAAATTGGGGCATGTGGCTGAAAAAAATCAAGGTGAAATAAAAAGGATAATAAATATTTGAATGAGCAAGAAAGTATTACATACAGATATTTGTGCTTTTATGCTAAATTTTCTTTTTAAATGCAATGATAAAAAATAGTCTAATAGATGAAGGATAATACTTTGAAATCTATTAGAATAAACCTTTGTATCAGGACAAGTTGTCCATTCATGGCAGCTTGTGACCATTTATGACCAACTTGTAAGGTAATAATATTATAGCGCGGACATTATGTTACATTTCAGTGCAACAGGTCAAGTTCTTGATTTATTGTAACCATTTTGACAGATTCACTGATAAATGGTTTTTAATCATTATTTCTGATAATAATCAGTCACTCTGAGTTAGTCTCCTACACCTATCTCCTGAATTAGCTTCTGATTGAAATTGGGCGGTGGAAATCTAGGATTTGAAAAGCCTGACAGATCTACGTTGCACTCATGGACTCACCCATCTTAGCTTGAGACGGGGAAGGCTCCAGGAAACGGCAAAGATCGTATCACTTTAGAAGCTAACCGTTAGCATTAGCAACTCCGCCACACAGCAGAACTCCTTCAGGCTTGTGTTATTTGTGGAGGTAAAACATCAACGTTGCAAATCAGTGGTAGAGTCACGTTGCTGTTATCCGATCCAGGCGAGATGTCTAAATATCAGGAAATAAGACTTCAAAACCTGTCATATGAAGCTCAGCTGTGATGTGGCTCACTTCTAGTTCCTAGAAATGGTGCACTGGTGTTCTTGAGACCATTTAGAGACCACTGGAAATGCATTGATTGAACGAGTGTTCAACACTTAAAAAAATACAAGCGAGGAGGAGAATTTCTGTTTTACGACAGTGAGTTAAAACGGACTCTAGGGGGGCTCAAAGCAAGCCAAAACTGCAAGATGTTCCATTATATGTTCTTGTTTCTAATTAAACGAACACCTTTCAGGTTGATGTCTAAGTCTTTATTTACACAATCAGTGTATTTTTTCTGACATTTACAATAAGATAATCTCAGGTAGAAAATATTTGGGTTATTAGGGTCAAGAATTCATTTAAAAAACTTAAACACGCCCCTTCAACAGACCAATAAACACACCCTGGCTGATTTATTAGGCTGGGACACATTTTGCCTCGAACGTTCTTATTTCTTAATTGGAAACGTTCCTCAGAGGTTCTGGTCCTCATTGATGTGACATCATCATACAGTTGCATCCATGATGTGATCTGAGCTTGGTCACATGGCACATTATCCTGCTGGAAGTAGCCAACAGAAGATGGGTCCATGTGGTCCCTAGAGGGATGGACATGCTCAGCAACAATCCTCTTGTAGACTCTGGGGTTTAAACCAGGCTCAGGTGGTACTGAGGGGTCAATAAATGACCCAACATTATAACATCAGGCACCACGCTTTTGTGTTGTTGACACCAGATCCTGGCTAAATCCCCGACTCGTCCATATGGCTTGATGCTCACGTCTAGATGCCTACGTGAACTGAGATGCTGTCATATTATTGGCTGAATTTTTGTCAATAATCAATTGAACAGGTGGACTTATTCAAAGCGACCAGGGGATTTTCATTTTTATTGTGTATTTTTTCCCCTTAAGTTAAGTGTTCAGTCTGTTTTTTTGTTTTTTTGGAAGCACTTGGCAACAGTTGCTGTGCTGCAAAAAGCAGGGTGTTTCTCCCCGCAGTGGTCACACCTCTCCCTGCCTCTGCTCAGAGCTGCATCCATGAGTAAGCTTTTTTTGCTTGTTTGTTTCTAACGGTGCCGTTATTGTGCAGCTCCTCCCAAAACTAAACTTGATGTTTGAGTTATTACAAAAAAACTCAGAAATCAGAAATGATTTTTGGAAAAATCTCGGTTTTGTGTTGCGGTTTACTGCTGTTTGGAGAAGCTGCATTAAAACCCCTATCCAGTAAAAATCAGGTCCCATTTACAAACCTTTTAGCCTTGATGGTTATTTCCTGTTTGCTTTCATCCGAGCTCTTCTGTCGGAGCAGTAAAACGATGAAATGGAGGCAGGAGAGCATGCAACACCTGCAGTCAGCATAAGACCTCAAAGAACAAAACATGCCGGAGATGGGGCTCTATGGAGAACTGCGTCCTCTGAAGAACACATGGAGCATTTTTTCCTTAAATATTCTGAATTAATCAGATGTTTGTGTGCTTTTGTTTACCAGAGTGAGCCAGAGCAGCAAGTTGAACCTGATGACCAGTGAGAACCTGTCTATCTGTTTCTGGCCAACCCTCATGAGACCAGACTTCACCACCATGGACGCTTTGACCGCCACCCGCACCTACCAAACAATCATCGAGAGCTTCATCCACCAGTGCGCGTTCTTCTTCTACAATCAGCCGCTGGCTGACCGCCTCGCCGGCTCCCCAACCTCCACGCTTTCCGGGGGAGGAGGAACCTCGGCCTACTCCTGCATGGCCGGAGGCTACTCGACCCCTCCGGCTCCGTCTCCGACTCCCTACGTCCTCCCCGCCACTCCTCCTGTCATCCCACATTACGGTCCTCCTCTCCACCACCATCAGCATCGGTCCCCTTCCCATTCCCCGCCTCCCACTCCCCAGTCTCCCATTCCAGCCCTGCTGCCGCCCTCTCTCCACCCCCACCACCCTCCGACTGAACAACACACGCTGTGAACCAGGGATCAAGAGAACGAGGACAAAAAAAGCAAAGTAAAAAACTGGACTATGTGACTTGTGGGTTCAGGATGAGACTTTTTGAAGGAATAGATAAAAGAGGAAGTGGAGATAGGAAGGGAATTTGGGAGAGATGCAGTATGTACAGGGAGAAAATTACATGTTTGGGAGAAAACATCTGAGCCTCTGCTGCTTTCATCAGAAAATAAATAAATAACAGAGAAGAGCTCAGGACAGGAATGTGGAATGAAGAGCTTCTGGACCAGATCAGTCTCCTTTAGCCCATCGTCTCTGTCTCACTCTACCCTCACGGCCTTACCCACACAGGGGGAGACACATAGCTGGTAGAAGGGACTCGGGGAGGGATTAAGAAGTGAAACAGGAGTATATGAACTCCCTCACGTTGGGATAATTTCACAAACAGTAGCCAGTGGATCACTTCTTTTTTTTCTCTTCCTTTTAGTTTCTGACCATGTTGGGAAGTTTGGTGGCCAGTGCACAGTTCTTAGGCCCCGCCCACCTGCTGGACCGACCCAGAGGCTGCGGCGGGGACAAAGTCCTCCACACATGTTTGTTTATTTCACCACTGGACAGTGTGGACTTGTGCAACAAACACGTGTTACTACTCACCCAACCGACAGGATGTTCTGTCCCGGGCGACTTGCAAATTCCTCTCCGGCAACCTCTTACATAGCCACACACACACACACACACACACAATCAGTTTTAGTCGTGGCAGTAAGCCAAGCACAAAGATTGGGAAAAAAAATCTCACCAAACTGGATCTGCTGGGCAGCAAAGAGGAGCAAAGGATTATGGGTGCTGCGACTGTTCTGCATTCTGGGAAGGCTCCTTTTAGTCTCCTGAACTTTACCCTCATTCTTCAGGCTTTTCTAACAAAATTCAGCCTAAAATGTGATTATTTTTTGATTGGTCTGATTCTCCACATTCTTTCTGTTCACTTTAAAAGCATTTTGTATTTTTCTAAGATGTCCCCAAGTCCACCGGGATCCGTGTCTTTCTGTTTGACCCGACTTCCCGGTGTCTGACAGGCAGAGGGATTGGACCCTGTTTGGTTCACACTGTGGTGGCTTGGTCTGTTTAGAGTGAGACGGTGCTGCAGGTTTTCATATTAAGGACCTTGTTGAAAAAGCACTTTTCTGAGCACTTTGAAGACAAATTTTCAGTTGAAGCTGCCATAAAGTGACAGCCACTTTTGCTGTCAGGCTGCCCTCCCTTTCGCTCTCTCTGGGAGCGCAACACTGACATCTAGTGGAGGGAGGAGGTTTTACATCACAGCTGCATGGGCGTAGCACCCTTCTCCTGCTGAGGTGTTTTTTTAAAGCATCAGATTATTTTATTGTCAGGATTATTTTCTAATTATTTTGCTAAAGCAAGAGAAGTTTAATTGTAAGGGCCCAGATTTTTGACAGATGGGAGATGTTTTACCTTACGGGCTTCAGAATCTGTCCTGGTGTTAGTCTTTTTTCTTTCTTTTTTTTTTCTCGTAAAGGAGTCTTAACCTTTCACATCAGAATCCACATGGCTGTTCTACCACTTTGTCCCCAAGTCCCTTCTTGTCCAAGAGAGACCATTTTCATTCTGAGAGACAGCAGAGAAGAACAGATCGTCCATTCATCCATCCGGCTGCCTCCTGCATTACCGGAGGAGAGCATCACCAAAATTCCTCAGCCGAGCCTGCCGTTGCCGTAGAAACCAGCAGAGATGCGGCTGGTGAAGAGCTCTGGATCGAAGCGAGTTGGTGTGGTGCTGCACATGTTTGTGGCTGAAAGAGCTGAGCAGAGATCTCAGCTTTCTGCTCTCCAAATGTCCAGTTAAAAAACACAAGTTCTAACCAATCGCTGAGGGAGATTTCATCCATCAGAGCTGGTCATTTACCTTGTGTGTGTGTGTGTGTGTGTTTATTTTAGGCCAACAGGTTAGCAGGACGCCAGTGTGATCCAAACAGATGTAAGAGGGAGGAATGCTGGTCTCCTCTTGGTCATTTCCCCTGCTGTTGGCTCATCCGGATTACACACACTGATCCTCAAAGAAAGTGTGGGAGAGACGGGGATGGGGGGGGGGGGGGGGGGGGGGCTGCATACGGGTGAATGGGATCATTATTTGGGAGAAGGAGGGAAGAAGGGGGTGACCTCTGGTACTTGTGTGAGAATGCCCAGCCAGCGGCATTAACCCCCCC